TATTAAGCAAAAACAAAGCTTCAAACCCCATTTTTGCAAAGGGAAATCTTGTTCAAAATCACGTCCTCTACCTCCCCTTTTCGGGAGTAACACTAGTTACGGGACACCCTGTATATCTTCACTAAAAGGAACAAAAGAACGAAAAAATAAAATTCAAAACGTTCACTACGATCTGATAATATATTAGGTTATTAAATATTAAGTATAAGATTAGGTTATTAGATACTAAATAGAAAATTAGGATAATAAGTATTCCAAAATACCTATAGAGAGTCGGGTATTATTTGATGTCAACAATTATTTCAAAATAACGATAGTGTACATAAACGTTAATGAAAGTGACGATGCATTGTACATAACCGTTTTGTCAATATTAATAATACGAAGTGGCTGGTTCTTCATCGAAACAAACAATGCATTAATCAATACACGGCTTACAATTACCGTTGTCCATTGACGAATATTCAATTTGCAACCATTTATATCCCAAAATGGTAATGGACTTTCGATTCGTTCGCGTAAACGAAGGAAAAGTATAAAAGTGCACAATTAGGGAATTTATATCAAAGTGTGTTAAATATAAAATAAAGCATTGAGATTAATTGCATTATTACAAAATATCAAATAAATAATTTTCTTGTTTTCTTAAAATTTAAAACAAGTATTTATTATTGAATAGATTATTTGAATTAAAAACTCATTTATGTTATTTATATAAATAATTTATATTATTTGTACAAAAAGTAATTTACTTAAATTATGCAATTTAGAAAGGTTATTTAAATAAAAATTACTTATTTATTGTAAATAATTATTATTTATTATCAAAATCCTTTTTGGAAAGAGGCGAATAAGCTGTGCCTACATAAATTTGTCTTTTTTTTGTTTATAATTTAAAGTAGTATTTTCTCAGACGCATTAACAGAAGTATGTTAACGCTCATTCGAACAACATACAACATGCAATGACTTTGATAATGAAGAGTTATATTGCAGTTAAATTATTCAATAACGGAATAATTGTCTTAGATAAATATTCATTCGAAATTATTCAGAATGGAATCAATTCACCATTGAATATATAGGTTCTTTCTACATTTGAAAAGATTCATTGGCCTGGATATAATGTCCCTTAAGGGAATGCGTGGCAATGGTGGCATACACTGAATAAATCGATATAAATAATCATTGTAATATGTAAATTAATATCAGCAGTACGTACTACTGTGTCCATAATTTGAAATAATTAACCGTAATGAGCACGAAGGGTACGTAAAGCTATCAATGAAGTTGCAGTGTAAGACAAATATGTGCAATAAATTCATTTATGCTAAAGTGTATCGTTTAGAGTGATTAACATTTTCGGGGTTTACTATTGTCGTAAAAAGCTATTGTTATGTGTACCTTTGTTATATGAACATCTTTGTCGTTTTTCAAAATACAAAAATATTGTTGACCTATTAACAAAATAATATGTAAGGCAAATCTGTTTTTCTGGGTTACGTAAAAATTGTAGTTTATCTTCAATGAATTTATTAATGTTCTTCCATTAATCTTTTTATCAACAATTTCACTCTATCCATTAGTTGCCTACTTTTCATTTTTCACACTCAAGATCATGAGAAGGTCATAACATTGTAGGTCACTGAAATTACGATGATCTCAGCTTTTAATACAAATATATTTCGGACATTTCGGATATACAACTGCGAATACAATGAACACTTCTGGAAACAAAATAACAGACTGTTACACAAAAGAATTGAAAGAATTCTTCTAACTTCTGAAGATTTTGGTTCTTATACTAGACTTCTTAGGTGAAGAGGGGTTATCCGTGATCCTTGCTACTGGGCCACCAGCTACTCTGAGACAATAGTGTCTACAGACTTTGTCTGGAATTTTTGAACTTAGATAAGGAAGGGGAAAACAAGGTTGACTAACTCACTTTAAATATATCATTTCCAATATACTTATCTTACTGAATCACTAAGTCATCCAAAACAGCTATCGTGTCACGTTAATGACAGTATATTATCCCACGTAAAATAACTTTGTGGATAAAATTTTGGAAGAAGTGACTTCAAGGAAAAATTTGAATATAATTCCAAAGTGCTACGGTGGAGGGGATGACAACTTTTGAAGGGGACGAGACCCTAAATATCAAGCGGTGTTTACACCAACCTATGAATTTTGGCGATATTAATGAAAAATTTTCAATATAATACATAGAATTCTGCCCAGACCAACATAACGAATACAACTTGCGCTGAAGTAACTACCGCCATCAAGTGGTGAGCAACTGATGACACCTGAGGGGGATGTCGACCTCAGCATGCATAGGGGATCTCGCTGAAAATTTTGCTGATGCATTGATCGTTGCATTACTAATATATCATATATAATATATGTAGCATTTTTGACAAGCGAGATAAAGATATTTCAATGCTTCAAAGCAGTTTTCACCGAGCATTAACGCGCAAACTTTTTTCTGAAAAATGTAACCTAAGCTGATCATACCGTGGTCCAATATTTGTGGACCTACTGAAATGTTCTATTCGTAGACGTATAAGTGGCAAATTCACAAATACATCGTACACGAACAAAAGATAGCTATGCTCCTGACCTTTTTGTAAGTCCACACATTTAAGTACAATTCTTTAATCTACTAACAGTGTTTGAGAATATTTCAATAGCTTATTAATTCCACCAAAAATGAGATTCATATTCACAGGTTACAAAATAATGTTTTATACATATGGGACACCCTATAGATGCGCAAGTCAAGGGCACTATTACCTACTACGATAATTACTACAGCGAGATGGTTATGTTAATTATGTCTGTATAGGCAGAATTTAATGTATTATGCTGAGAGTTTTTCACTAATATCTCCGAAACGAAAATGCTGATGTGAAAACCGCTTGATGTTTGAAGTCGCCGCACTCCCTGTTTCACGCATACAACGCATATATCCATCAGCCACCAGGGTACTTCGGAACCCAAAAATTCTTTATCACATTTGTCCCTTCGAACAAAATGAGGGTACCAAAGTGCCCCGGGGCAGAATCACGGCCCGCCCAGTATAATGTTTCCCTGTGACACTTTTCTTGGTCATAGAGTAGCAAGACATTTAAGATGTTCGATTAATAACGTTTTCTAATTAAATGTCTAGATAAGGGGTACCCGTGGCGAGCATAGCGAAAGCGAGGAAGGTATTTACGACATTAGCAACAGACGTCGGCTGGGCTTGACCGAGCGAGAAGTGGTTTTCGAGATGAGAAACGGCGTGCTCGAACTGATCAAACAAGAGAAACAGCTGCAAGGGGAAACGTCGTAATATCGCGTGTCCGCTGGAAGTCGATGAAGGCCTCCCAGTACCATACGTTTCCATCGATTTCCCCTCGATTCGACACGACTGCCCCTGTAATTCTTATAAATCGAAATATCCAAACTGTTTCGATTAATGTTTCCCCCTGTGCCACCAATATGTTTCCGTTACGATCACCGACAGCGAGAGAGAAAGCCAAAGAGAGAGTGAGAGAGAAAGCAGAAGTGCTTCGGTAGCCTGGTTATCGACAAGTTGAAGCGGTACTCGTCTATTTCACTGCTTGAAAATGTCTGTGGCATTCCTCTCCGCTCTGGAGTTCGAAGCAAAGAAACATCGATTCGTTATTAACTTGTGATACAGTTGTTGTGCAACCTGATGGTTCTGATTGCGAACAGTTCTACGAAAATATTGACGAAATGAATATTCATTGCTGTGCTCTTTGGTTTGGAATTTTCGTTCTGTTGCTGTACAATAATAAACTTATGAAACTAAATGGTTGTTTAGTTTTTCTTGTAGAAATTTGTATTCCCAGATAAGCCGTGATTAAAAACGAAATTTAAAAGATATTCTCGTAAAGACTTATTATTTTATAAGGCAATATTTTTATTCCGCAAATTTGAGTCTTACAATTATTTTGTATTGTTTCTTGTTATAATATTTATTGCAACATTTATAATTATATTATAACATATATATTTCACTCTACACTAAAAAAGCAAATACGTTCTACACGCATTTAAAAATTTTGTGTTAGATAAATTTAGTCAATGAATAAACATTCTATAAACAGACTAGAAACGTATCTTAATTTAATATTTAATAAATATCGATAAATAAGCAATCTACGAAAGAAAAGTAGGTCTTTCAGTCCTGCAAGAATTAAATAGCAGTAAATACTTCGCAAACGTATAAAAGATACTTTGTAACTGATAGCTGATATAAAAAAGAGATCAATATATAAATTTAAATCTTCCAGAGGTATTTACAATCACGGAAAATATTTCATTTTTACTGCAGAGACGTTTGAGCTCAATTTTTTCTTTTCCCGTTTATTCCGTCCTTAAAGATACGCTTTTCCTGCTCGAACGCAGCAGCATCTGTAACGTTATCTAATGCCAAGAACCCGCTATTCCTGACACCGTGAAAATATCGTACACGTGAATGTGTCTAGATATAACAATAACGTGGGACATAACATCAACAACCGTCTGAAACTGACAAGGGAACGGTTATGAGAGTTTCTGGGACGTCATTTTTGTGAGGTATTGCATTCGTGTGACTCACAAAATGGAACAAGATTTTTATCACTATTCTATCAACAATTTACCAAGTATTGAACAATTTTGTTCCTTTAACATTTTCTCTGCGGTTTTTTTCAAATTCAGCTTTTCAAATTTCATTTTAGTTTTTACCGCAGTAAGTTCATTGATGCATAGTTAATTAACGGCGCCTAGGTCCGTTCGTTTATTTGAAACGCATGACAAGATTCGTTCATTTATTTGGTCTGTTAATTTTTGGACAATTTCTTGTATCATAACCGATGACGTGAAATATAGGATTCTATAGATTTTCTTTATAGTAACGTGTCACAAAAAAGTGCCTTCTTAAAAGTAACAGGAATTAATTTTTAGCGTTTACAGTAACTGTACTTAATATGAATCATCTGTGTTTGAAAGATGTCAGAAATAGACACATGTTATTTTTAACGAAATCTGAACACAAAAGGAATTAATAAATATTTGATTAATTATATAAAAATATATGTGTATTAAAATTATGACGAAAATTGTAAAAGACCTCAAAAGTAGAAACATGTAGGAAATTCGTACAGTAAATTCAAAACTTCATTTTCATTATGAAAAGTGAATATTTATTTTATTAAACATAAATAAAGGAATACTTTCGATATTTTTTAAATTTATTTTAAATAATATTATTTTTCTTCCTGTTGTTGAGAACATTACTCACATGTGAACGTATTGCAGCCATTTTACTCCATTATTATCGCTATAATATACTAGGATGATAAAAGTATAACTTATAAATGCTATACAATATTAACAGGAAACATGTACCCAATATAAAACATGTTTCATATTACGTACACTCAGCATATTCCACGTTGCAAGTACGTATTTCAACAGAAAAATTGTTATCCTAAAGAGAAAATAAATTTCGCGATAAATTGCTTTTGAACACGCAAAAATAAACATGTTTGATGATAAATCGTATAGAAGTAATATTTTATAACTTATTTACATTTGAAAATTTAACGAGCCGTTTATTTCGAAAATGGTGCAAACCAATGTTCAGAAAAATTAATGATAATAAATAGAAATAAATACTATAGATAATTTTTATTTAGAAATTTTAGTTATAATAATTAAAACTCAATATTTGAGCGAAGTTAACTGTATTACGAAAATTTTTATTTTGAAGCTTGTTCATTTAGGTCTAATATTACAAAAGCCTTATTATATTTAGCCAGTATGAACACTGATTGACATTAATGTTGATTAATATTACTCGATAATTATTATGTATTATACAAATGCAAAAAATGCAAAACAATATTTTATTATCGCTTACTAATATTTTTAAATTGATTGAAGTTCAAACCCATAAATATGTCACTAATAAAAAAGAAGCTTACCCTACTTTCAAATTTTTGAAGAATTTTATTACCTTCAGAAATTTTAAATCATTACGAAATATCGTTAATAGTTACTTCCGTATATAAAGACAAACCGATCCACTAATTTTTTGCAAAGAAAAGAACATTCTAGTGGATACAAGTAGAACGTGGTCTAAGAGTCCATTGATTGTTTTGCGCTAAAGTTCGTTGGTTGATTACTTCTTTCTACGTCGAACGCTTTGGATTTTCTGACCGATTGTTTCAAACTTTAGATCTCCTCTCCTCAAATGGTTTAGCACTTTCTGTCGTGGATGCATCGTGTTGATCCAGACGATGCCAGCAGACTAAACAATTCAAGTTCCAGACACACGAAACAATTTATTAGCCGCAGTAGCGAGGTCGTCTCTAAATGAAACGTCCATTCATCCTGTCACGTAAGACAAATTTTTAAAGCTTCGATGAATTGAAACGTTTAAATACATAATGCAACCATGATGCTACAAAATACGTCACTTGTTATCGAACTCGGAGGAATAAGATACCAGCACAGATGGTCTGCGTGTGAACCCTGCTCCGCGATTACATCAACCTTCTGACTCAGAAACACGAGCAGCTTCCGTGATTTCACCAAAATGATGTGACGGTCTCCGCATATTCCACCAGACGAGCATCAACTTTCTCGCAAGTCCTCACTGATTTATTTCTCTACTGATCTGATTTATAAGCCCGAAAATTACATCTAAATTCATAGGTATGAGATGAAAATTCATAGATATATTTTGGAATGCAAAGTTATGTAAACGTGTTGTGAAACGTAACTTCAAAGATATAAATGCTCTTATAAAAGAATCTGTTCTCTTTGAAATAATTTTTTTTATATTGTTTTAAGTAATAGAGATCTTATTGTTAGAATGGTGCTATATTGTTGGACCTTTTCACATATGAATTCGGTGAATAAATTGATTTTCAAACAATCTTTTTATTGCTAGAATTGTTAGTCTATACAACTTATTGTTAAAATAGCTTTACTACAAATTATCAATATTATAAATTGCAGAAATAACAAAATTTGACGTTGAAATTGGTGAGCAAAGTTCATTTCACCGACTCGTAAAATAGTTTTGGTAATTATGATATATAATTTTCAAACGTTCTGTACATATATGTAGCATAATTACACTTTGCATTCTTGACAACAGTATTTACATAACAAAAAAATGCTTAAGATGCACATTTTTTGCATTACACGTTTAATTATTGTAGTGCCGTAAGCATTATTGGTGGCAACCAGTAACCTACTTATGACAAGTAGGTACTCTACAAAGCAATACAGAATTTTTGAACACATTTGATCTTTCATCTATTAAGCCGCTTTTATACCATGAATACATGATGCAGTTTTGATACCTGGGAGATGAAAATTGATCGTAGACCCGAGATTGTAATTTTATCATATTGTTCCTGGCACAGAGGTTAACCTCTAACCACCATGGGTTAGAAACATAACATACAGCACGCGGCTCGTTCAAAAGTGATTTTGTGGCTGTGTAATGTATAAGTGCTTTGTTTCTATTTTTATTTTAACGCTGAAACACAAAAACAATAAACAATTTTGTTATTACAAAGAAATTCATTGAATAGTGTGCGAGGATTTCTACACAGGTATTGTTTAGTATTATTTTCTCAGACTAGCAATAAGGTGATTTAAAATATAAAATAAAATGCAGTTTGAGATATTTATATTTGTACATAACTGTCCGACAGTAGTAATTTAGATATTGATAAAAAAGGATGGTTTCAATCTTTAAATTCGGGTTATTAAAGCTAAAAATAAATAGCATATGTAGAAGTATTTTCATCTGCCCTACAAACCCACAAAATTGCAACCATGTCAAAGTTCAACCACGACCTCCTTTGTCTATTCTTCGGAAGCAACACGACTATTTTTAGTTGCAATTCCAATTTTAATGGAGTATATGAATGTATCCTCTCTGTATGAACTATAATACTCTGTATTCCATTTAAAAAAATATTAATGACCTTCATATGTCCTTTGCACGTCCACTTACAAAAAAAATATACCACCAGCATATGCCCCTCTCAAAACCATTCAACTGCATCTAAAACATTGTTTGCTATGAGTAATAATAATGATGCAAATCTAGATGACAAAATGTGGTAAGCCACCCTGTATATTATCTACCATTTACCATGTATTATCTACCATCTGCTATCTACTGTATAACCTACTATCAATTGTATTATCCAGTAACGATTATCAATTATCTATTTTGTCTTATTTTATATTATTTCATACGTAAGAAAAACCAAACCTGGTATACAATTTTATTAAGATTAAATTTGGTACTTGTCCATATATCGTAATCCTAAATCACTAAATTCAACTGACGCAGCTATGGAAAAGGTCATAAGTTAAAGGACGAAACAAAACAGCATTTGTATCTCAACGTCGAAAGTTCAGCACAGATTCGTACTTACCACATACTTTTGTTCTTTACTCCCTGCGGATGAAGCCACTTGGAAAGTATCAAACTTGAATTTAGAGAAGCAGGATTTTTCCTCGATTTTCTCGATCACAATTTCCCTGTTATTTTCTTTCTGACTCTGTAATCAGGTTCTTCGAAGTCACCGTTTCAAATCTTGGACGATTTGAGGCGAAACGGTTGCTATGCTCTGCTTCTTC